ATGTGTACGTGTATCGAGTCTCTGTTTGGGATGTAGTAGATTAAAACTTATTTGTGGGCCTTACCCACCATTATTTTTCAAGTGTTCGTCAGTTCCAGTCTTAGAGAATGTTCGTGCCGAGCAGAGACAGTCACTCTTCTGACTTTACGTAGGACTCTTCTTGATGTTTTACTTAATTGTTTTATTTCAATTCAGCTATTTCAGTTAGTATTTTATTAGGGGTCCACAGTATGGATTCCCGAGTTGTAATTTAATTAATTACGGGTATCAGAGGATTGGATGATTTTAGTATGGGATTTTTTAATTATTATTTATTTGAGGATTTTTAAATAAGAATTTATTATTTAGTTCCCTTCAGCTTATTATTTATTTATTTCTTTAATATTCTTTTTGTATTCAAATGCTTATTTAAATATTAATTGTTTGATATCCCTTGTATTTTGTGCTCAGACTTGATCACCAGTGGCTCTAGAATTGAGGGGTATCACACAAGACTAAGGAAAGAAATGAGAGAACCTCCTCTAAGGTTGAATTATACAAATTTGATGTGTAGCAATGCTGGTCTAAAGCTTTAATTTATATGCATTTTATTCTACTAGCAAAAGTTTCATGTTCAATCGTTAGAAAAAAATCATAAATTTAAAAATAAAATTATGAAGATGCACAACAAAATGTTATCTTCTTTTTTGCCTAAGCTACTTTAATATTGTATTATTTTATTATGATAAGACTTCAAATTTGTCTCCATTTAGGGGTTAATCTTCTGATATCTTTTGATTTGTCATTTTGCCTAAATCTTGAAAAAATTTGTTGTAATTAAAATTTTGAAAGTCAAATCAAGTTTTGCCCATTTTCTTCAAATTTATTTTTACTCATTATTTAAAATGGAACACAAGTGACCTTTTTAATCATTCTACTAATTGTTGCTTCACTGTCTAAATTTTAGTTATATTTGAGAAACTAATAGTTTTATGATTGCTTCTATTTTATTTTAATGAAAAATATGAAACTGAAAGAGAATATGTAATATAGAATTCGAAAGCTACTTTCCCAATTTTAATGTTTTCTCATTCTTTAAAAATAATACAAGTGACCTCTTCAATCATTGTGCATTCATTGCTTTTGCATGAGTCTTCATTCATTATTTTTAGAAATTATTTTTGTTTAGATAATTTTGACAATGCAATGTAGGACCATGGTTATCAAAATCGCGATTCTAAGTCGTAGAATCGCACAATTCTACGATTTAAAATCCAAAATCGATCCAAATTGTAACAAAATCGTTCAATTGGTAGAATCGGCTGTAGAATCGGGGATAGAATCGTAGAATCGTACGATTCTACACGATTCGATCGATTCTACAAATTTCATAATACACTGTCAAAAGATTGTTATTTAATCATGAATCCTAAAGGTTTCATCACTTCGACTATACTATAGGTGAAGAGAAGAGGGGAATTCACTGGAAAGTCACAGAAATCATATTAAAATCACATAAATAGGCAAAACATGGTGCCTTCATCCTTGCTCGCTGGTAGAACTAGTCGCTGGTCTTTGTCGTCAGTCGCTGGTCTTCGTCGGTCGCTGCTTCATCGGTCGTTGCTCGCAGGTCGCTGATCGCTCCCCTCTGGTTGCCGCTCGTGTCGCTGATCCCCTCTTCTTCACTGTTGCTCCCCTCTTCTTTATCACTCCTCTTCCTTCACAGACTTTGAAAGCAAAGACAGATACTGACGGCCAGAGATAAGGCTGCTGGCTTACATGGGCTGTCAGGATTATTCAGATGTCACGTGCAAATTTGACCCACAAACGTCATCTTCTTGTTATTTAATTTAAGTAATTTATAAATACATTCTACATCTAGAAAGTATTACGAATATGAATATAATATGATATGAGTATGATAATAAGATAAAGATTAAATAAATATTCCCTAAGATACAAGTATATATAAGATATAATAAAAAAATAAAAAATTATATATATATATATATAATTAATTTAGTTTTCAAAATATTATAAATCTAAATATAATTACTAATATAATATAGGAGTTAATTTAATGCAAAAAACATCTCTTAAATGTCAAATTTTATTCCTTGATAGGCTATGTTGAGGTTAGATATATTTGATTGTGTTTTGACTTTATTTTTGTTATATTTTACTGATTTTATTGTTTAAAAAGTTAGTTTCAATTATTTTTTCACAACTTGGTAGAATCTTGCGATTCACAATCCGATTCTACGATTCTGATTTTACAGAGACCAAAACGATTATGCGTAGAATCCCGATTTTAACAACCTTGTGTAGGACAGCTACTGATCTGGATGCTTAAACAAATTGTCACAGAAGTATGTCCCCAACATTGTGTCATAAGATAAGATCAGAATTTTGATTCACTTAACTGGTTTGAAAATCTCAAGTTAGGAAGTTTTACATATATGCATATTTATTTACAATGGTCACCAACATTTTCATCACACCCGTAAAACAATGCATCACTATTGAAACCTTACATTGCACGTGGTAATATTGGACATTTGGTATAGTTCCTACAAAGTAGAGACAACAATAATTTAATAAGACCGATTCAACCATCGAAGGCTCACACTATTGTCACATTTCAACATACGACAATCTCTCGAGCAATACGAGTGAAGAATTTATCTCCAAATTTTTTTCCAAATACCTACTTGAATTGCAATTAACAAAGCATCAAAGTACTATCAAGAACAAAGTTGAAATTGGATATCATTTAAGTGCAATCGAAGGAAAAAATCAGTAAAAATGAGTATCACTATCAAAAAAATCAGTAAAAATGAGTATCATATATATGCAATATGGTTGAATAAATAAATGGTTCAATAAAAGGCATTACCTCAAGCCTTATAGTCTTAATGGTTGTTGCTTCAGATAACAAAATATATAGCAAACAATCTGGCAAATACAAACATATAGGCTATAGCATATATGCTGGAAATAGATAAGAGAAACAAACCCATTGAAAAGTTGAGAATTTCTTTTAAAAACCCATAGAAAATAAAACCCATTGAAAAGTGATGCAAAAAATAAAATAGGTAGTATAAGAAACACGGTTTTTCTCAACCCACAAACAATCCCAATCTCCGTTCCACTGCAAAACACCATATACAGAGCATACACAAAAAGTTGAGAATTTCTTTTAGATTAAATAGTGGTAACTATTGGGAACTTTAAGAGGTGATCATCATATAATTTTTAAGTTGTAACTGTTGAAAATTCTGGAGTTACACTGGTTGAGAGTTCCAAGAGGCCAAAGAGCGCAAAAGAGGAAATTGCATTGCAATCAATTGTCAATGAATCATTAGATTTAATGAGATTTTATGAATAATTTTATATTTAAAAAAAAAAAAAAAATTAAGAAATTAAAGAAGATGCTCACACTTTTAGAATAGTATATATACAGAAAGATTTTGGCTATAATTATTACACTACCATTGAATTGAAGTCAACTTCATGGTCGATTATCTTTCGACTAACTCGCAAGAGAGAAAAAAGAGACTAACTCGCAAGAGAGAAAAAAGAGCCCACAGACGCGAAAGTCCTCGTTTTCGTTTTTTTTTTTGTTTTGGCGAGAAGGGAGTCCATTGACCCGAGGTCTTGGTCTTTTGTCCCTTGGAGAGTGAATGGTCTTGGTGTAAAACGAGTCCATAGACTTGAGGTCTTGGTCTTTGTCCCTTCTTGAATGACTTCAAAATTAAAAAGCGAGTTCTGAATAAATGGAGCTGATTTTTGGGCTCCCCTAACATATTCTAGTGCTTTATTTTCTTATTTTAATAAATACAATGACCAAATTAGTCCTTTAGCATTCTATGTCAATTATGAAAGTTCTTACTAAAATTATGAAGTTCTTATTTTTGTATGCTTGAGTTATGATTCGTTCACCATGTTTTTTAATGAAAAACTCTTATCTTCTTTTTAGAACTTTGTTAAAAAGTATTGAATCAAATATAAAATAAATTGCTGTTGCGGTGCTAGCCTAGTCGTACGGCGTGTATTGTTTGGCGTCTTTATCCTAAATATCACCTAGTCGTACGGCGTGTATTGTTTGGCGTCTTTATCCTAAATATGGAAACTTTTTAGTCTAAATCATATGCAAATCATAATTTTTATTTTATTTTTATTCTTTTATAACAGCAAGCAACTCAATTTCTTTTCTATTTGATTCAGTACTTTCTAGCACTACACTAAGAGGAAATTAAGTTCTAGTTCTAGCACCGAGAGAGAGTTTTCAATTAAGAAAACAGAGAAAACAAATAACACAACAAAACAGAGGAGGAAACTTTAATGGTCGAATATTAAGGGAGTACTTTGGTCATTATATTTACTAAAACAAGGTGGTGGAGTGTCGGAGTATATTTACATAGCGCCAATATCAGCTCCCTTGAGTAATTTACAACGTTTTGATATTAAAACTTGTTATGTGAGTAGGGATAAAGATGCAAAAGAACCTTTTTTTATATAAAAAATGATTCTTACACCTACTCCAATAACATATTTGTTACGCTTAAAAATTTCTATTCTTTTGATAAAGTGAATGGGACTCATATTTGAGTTTATTCACATCTATCATCAAGTAGATAGAAACTTTAGACAAATAGGTTAGAGTAGTGGGGGTTAAAAATCAGTACTCTTTTCTGATTGGTTATATTAACAACTATGAAATAAACTTGGTTTCTTAACCAGTGCATTGGGCTTGATCTAATGCTGTATAATGAAAGTAACTTTACAAAAGCAATATTTGTCTTTTTAAGTGTGAACTCAGGGTTTTGATGTAGGCAATTAGAAAGGTGTGTGGACTCAGCAGTGTCTTTTTTTTTGACTGCTTTAGACTTGGGCATCCGTTGGTACAAATAAGTCACTCTCATAGTCAAAGTCTTTCTACAATGATCGTCCACTTGCTGACATAAATAAATAAATAAATAAAATTTCTACTACTTCCATACATTGTTATATATATATATGGTGAAGTAAAACATATATATAGTATGCTGCTTCCTCAGTTCAGTTCTTCGTTGGAGCATACAGAAGTATTAGTTAAAAAAAAAAAAAAAAATGCATACAGAAATAAATTAAACTGATAAGCAAACCTTCTTTGACCTCTTCTTCTATCATCTGGTGCTTGTTCATGATTTGGATTATCATGGTTTCACCTCTACTCTCTGGCTGCTGTAAGTAAGCACTATCTCTCTTTCTCTCTCTCTCTATCTCATATTCATTCATTTTGTTGTATGAGTTTTGCAGGTGGACGCAGTGATATTGGAGTTGGAGCCGGACAAATTGGAGCATTCAGAAACCATTTTATCCCCGCCGGATCTGCTCCCGGTAAGTGCTCTGTCTCTTCTTCTCTCTCCTCTTCCCTCTCTCTCTCTATATTCATTTATTTTGTTGTATGAGTTTTGCAGTGCGACGAACTGGATTCGGTTTCAAAGGTGCAAGACCATCAGGACCACAGGCACCTACCAACAGTACCAAAGGTATGGTCAGTAAAACTGAATTGGCTTTGCAAATTTTTTTTTTTTTCCGAACGGTTAAACAATTATATATATAAATAAAATTTACAGGGCCAAGTAGGCCCAACATCCAAATGGCAAGAACCAACTTAACCAGTGGCCACTGGCCAATACTCAATAGCCATATATACGGCTCCATGGATAAAAGAAATAACCGTTGATAACAGCTTCAATGGTCGATCACCCATCGTATGCTCCATGACCTCCCCGGACTAGCATGCCATGGGCGATTGAAGTAGTGACAAGCTAACAGTGGGCTGTAACCGGGGTGTTTCGCAATTCGACTTAAAAGTATAAGTTGTGGGGCTAATGTTAAACTCATGTATTCTCATTCACTTCCCTATCCGGATCTGACGTGGGACAAATCCCACTTATAATAACAGTCCAAGGCGGAGCTAGAAATTTTGATTTGGAGGCCAAACTGGTAATATATGGTTAAAATTTGAAAATTTAGCATGTATAATATATATCATTGTTGTCCGCATTTTTTGTCATCTTGGACTCATAAAACTCTGGTATTTTTTCTCTTTCTCAGTGCTTTCATGAAGGTTCGTGATTTTTAATTAAACACGAAAACTTCTTTTTCTCTCTTGAACTCATTCATTTAAATGTAATTTTAAATGTAGAAATAATATGTTCAAAAGTAAGACTAAAAGCGTTCAAGGTGAATTTTTTTTATGAGTTTCAATAGAGATAAATATATTAAAAAAATTTGGAGGGGGCGAACTGAAATTTTTTATAACTTCTTAGGATACAATTTAAAAATATAATTTTTTACGGGGCTATAAATAAATTTTGAAAAACTTTGGCAGACCATGGCCCCTCTAGCCCGTCTCCCCCGTGACAAAGTATTAGGTGCTCCCAGCACAACAAATATTTATTTCTTTCTTTGCCCTTGAATTATTACGGTTTCACCTTTACTCTCTCTGTGAAAATTATCTACCATTTCCGGCAGCTGTAAGTATTCTCTCTCATATTCATTCATTTTGTTGGAGCAGTGGGTAGAAACGATTTTCAGCGCGGCGGATCTCCTACAACAACAGCTAAAGGTGCCTCTCCGAAAAATACTACTTTTTGGCAGTTCTGTGTATTCAAGTTGCGGAAGTGTCGGTAAACCACAGAAACAAGCAAAGCTAGCTGTTGGTTCATATGTTTGTGGTGGGATATCAGTGATTTGTGAAAAATCTAAGATCCATATATTGAGATGTGAGAGCGTGTATTATGCGTGGTTTTGTCTTATATATTTAGCTGAAGTAATAATGTGCAACTCTGTATAAATTTTCCTTTCAATTGTTATGTGGAGAACTGTGTGATAATAAATTGGTTAATGATTCCGAGGAGCCCATATCTTTTATGAATATTGAGTTGCTTTCTTAATTAATTCATTGACCCACAAAGTAAATGTTTTTTTATGTACTTACATATTAACTCGGAAAAATTATATTTTGATAATCAAAATTAAACATAATTGTTATATAGTGACCTTAAAGTCAAGAAAAGGTGAATAGTGACTAATTTTGAAACTTAATTGATATTAAGTGACCATTTGATGATTTATTACCTAAATAGCTTTCTTATAATATATTATTATGTAAGTAGATAAATTTACCCTCTACATTAATCTATATAAACACTTACTTAAATTGACTAATAAAAAGACAACAGATTATTAGGATGAGTCTCTGAAGAGAAGATCAAGATGGGAGAGAACTGATGATGGATAATATACATCATTTTCTTCAAGATTCTAAGAGACATGACGAGAAAATTGTAAATTTTCTTCTTATTCATTATTTTCAAGGTATAGTTATTATACTTTACGAGTTGATTTGTCTGAGAGATCTTCCTTAAGATATAAAATTGTAATTTTTAGGAATTTTTAATACTACTTAGTTATAGTTCAAGAAATAATGACTATTATTGATTAATTTCATAATTTTACTAACTGTTAAAGGGTGTTTCAAAAGTATGATTTGCCACTGTAAATGTTTTGAGCGTTCATGTTGGAGAGCCTTGAAAAATAAATAAAGGATGGAAAAGAGATAATGTTGATAAAGAAATTTTAATTTTTTAAATTGGTAAATTGTAAACTAAAAAGGAAAATATTAGATGGTTGAGAGCCTTGAAAAATAGATAAAGGGTGAAAAAAAGATAATGTTGGTAAAGAAATCTTAATTTTTTAAATTGGTAAATTATAAACTAAAAAGGAAAAAAAGAAAACGTTGGATTAGAGAGAGAGAGTAGGAGGAGGATGAATTTAATGACTTATTATTTATATTGGATGGCAATTTTGTCATCTAAAATTTATTTTTAAAATGTTTATTAAACTTTTAAGTGTTTTTGATCAAATTATCCTTAAATGGTCACTTAATATCAATTAAGTTTCAAGATTGGTCACTATTCACCTTTTCTTGACTTTAAGGTCACTATATAGTAATTATGTTTAATTTTGGTCACCAAAATATAATTTTCCTATTAACTCTTTTTGTCACATGGATGTCCATCTTTAGAATTAGAAATGTTTAAATGGAACATGTAGTTAATGCATTAATTTCTTTTAAAATAATTAAATTATTCTTTTTAAGTTTAACTATGTATAATGAGGATACCAAAGGCGGCATGGGTCGAATCTAGCCCACATGATGAAGAATGGGCCTGACAAATGGCCTGGGCCCGAATTAAGCTGTCATCATGCAAGCCCAATGCCGAAGAGTGAAGCTGGAGGCCTTAAAGATGAGTGGATCCATGGATGCAAAAGCCTCATAGATAAGCCCAATGGAAGAAGTTAGTTAAGGATCTTCTAGAACATTGTAAACAATCTATAAATAGGAAAAAGTAAAGGAGAGAGGGGATTGAAAGATTTGAAGTGTAATGAAACTCTGTCAACCTAGAGAGAGAGAATTATTGTATCTTCAATGGCGCCGTCCGTGGGAATCGATGAGGGTTGATTGATGTTTGACTCAGATTGATTTGATCTAATAGTGTAACACGTGAAGACGAAGCCTGATCGTTGAAGGCGGAATCAAGATCGATGAAATCGTGATTGGAGAAATTGGCGTTCGATCTACACAGTTCTGAGTTGTGCTTGTTTTGGAGAGCTATGCGGTCAAAAGTTGCTGAGATTGCTAAATTTGGCAAGTTCGTTGCTGGAGTAACTCAGATTTGGTTAATCACGATCGAAATTCAGCTGAGCTAGAATCTAGATCTAGAACGTCTGCATTGGCAAAGGTCATATCTGATCAGAAATTTGCAGTTAATGACTTTGCTACGATCCGGAATGATGATGGGAGGAGAGAATTTGAATCCAGTGGAGAATGGCCAGCAGATGAAGCTTGATGAACTGATGAATATGATCGAGGCTCTGAGAAAAGAAAATGTAGAGTTGAGAGCTAGAATGGAACGCTGAGAAGTTCCGGTCGCGCCGCGACCACCTCCGGTGGGTGAAAGAGGCGTGCGACCTGATGAAGCACATCAAGGCGAGCAAGAAAGAGATAACCACGTCGATCTCCACCACGAGGAGGTTAGGATGGAGAATTTACCGCCAAACGCTCGTCGGGCTGAGGATCGAGAAGGATATGTACATCTCGATCCACATCGTAAGCATATCAGGTGGGAAGGAAATACAGCTTTCAATCCGCATCAGGAAAGGCACAATCGCCAACAGGATATGGAGTTTGATTGTCATAAGATTAACTCACCGTGGCAGAAAGAGTTCACTGAGGAAAGGTCGTTCGATCCACCTTATCCGCCTTCAATGGCCACATATGATTATAGGAGTTCGGAAAGAAGATCTACAGATCAAAGAGTCGTCACGAGGTTTGAAAGAGAGAATGAGGCCCTCCGTTCGGCAGCACGGACGATTGATTCGCCGTTTACTGACAAGATCCTGCATGCTCCAAGCCCGATGAAGTTTTCCATGCCTGTTTTCATTCTATTCGACAGAACGACCTATCCGATTGATCATATATATCATATTCAGTTGAAGATGGCACTGAACACAAAGAATGATCCTTTAATGTGCAAATGTTTTCCTACAAGCTTAGCTGGACCGGCACTCAACTAGTTCAAGAACCTACCGAGGGGCTTAGTGAACAGTTTCCGTAGTTTGTATGATCAGTTCATAAGCCAGTACTATGGGAATAAGCGCCTGGCAAAAGATATCTCTAGTTTGTTCACCATGAAATAGCATGACGATGAGCGTCTCCAAGCTTTTCTTACCAGGTTTAACCTAACCAAGAGCATGGTGATAGAGTGCCATCCTTCCATAGCAGTTCAAGCGTTTAAGTTAGCAATGACCCGAGGGACGCCGTTCCATACAAGTCTGGTGGTGAACACGCCGAAGACAATGGACGAGCTGAATGAGAGAGCCGATGGTTTCGTGCGCCTGGAAGAGGAAGAAATAGCTAACGCGAGGAAGACATCTATCATCTCCACAGAAGAGAAGTCCAAAGCCAAGATACGGCAGAAACAAGTTCCTACGCAGCGTCAGACCTCCTGAAAGGCAGAGAAGAGACCTAGGGAGGATGACTTGATTACTTCACTCAAAGTTACACTGGCAAGGCTATACCAAGAGAACAAAGATAAGTTTTGTCCTCCCTTGCCAATTAGATAACCTCTCGAGCAGAGGGATCAATCTAAACATTGTGCTTTTCATAGTGATTTTGGTCACCAGACTAAGGAATGTAGGAACTTAAGGAAACAAGTGGAGATATTGATCGCTAGGGGAGAGTTTGCAGGGTATGTTCAAGGACCAGCCCAATAGCAGAATTGACCAATTGAGCAAGTCAAAAGAAATCAAAAGCCGAATCACCATAACACTCAGCCCGTTCGGATTATAAATGCGATTCATGGTCGACCTAAATGAGCCGAAGAGTTCGAAGAATTGACCCGAATGCGTCTTCGACAAGCACAAATGAAGAGAAGAATAGGCAGCGTCAACACTTTGCACCAGCAGAGCGCATCAATGCAGATAAGATTCGATAAAACGGACTTGATGCGAGTTCAGATCCCTTATGAAGACCCGCTGGTCGTTAGTTTAACAGTGGCAGAGTGTTTGGTATGAAGAGTGCTAATTGATCCAGGGAGTAGTGCCAATATCATACCTAGAGTCACCTTCGATCCGCTGGAAATCAAACCAGAGAAGTTCAAGTGTACTGGGAATCCATTGTCAGGATTTGATGGAAAACGAGTTGAACCGATCGGCACAGTAGAATTGCTTGTTCAGGTAGCCGAACGGGACCTTATCAAGAGCTTTGTGGTGGTGGAGATCCATCCCTCTTACAATCTATTGATGGGGAGAGGGTGGATTCATAGGGTACAGGGAGTCCCATCGACCCTACACCAAGTGATGAGATGCCTGGGTCCGGACGGGAACAAGGTGATTGATATCTATGGGGATCAGGTTGCCGCAAAGGAGTGTTACTCAGTGACTTTGAAAGCTGCAGGGAAGGGGACAGCTTCTATTCGCCCAGCTAGCACACAATAGCAATTAAAGAAACCTCCCCCCGGCACGAACGGGGAGGAGCTTCCGGTGCAAGCTGAGGAACCCCTAGTTGAAGTTCAAATTGATCATTTAAGGCCAGATCGAACTACAAAGGTAGGTTCAGGGCTTGTCGAGGAAGAAAAACGTCAATTGATTGATTTCCTCTCCCAGAACGCCGATGTATTTGCTTGGAGCCATCTAGACATGCCAGGGATCGACCCCTCAGTCTCTTGCCATTCTCTTAATGTATATCTGAACATCAAGCCAGTCTGGCAGAAACAGAGAAGGTTCACCCCGGAGCGCAACCAGATCATTGAAGACGAAGTTAATAGATTGTTGGAGGCTGGGTTAATTATAGAAGTACAGTACCCAGACTGGTTGTCGAACGTGGTGGTAATGCAAAAGAAGAATGAAAAATGGAGAGTTTGCATTGATTTCACTAATCTAAACAAAGCCTGCCCGAATGATAGTTTTCCACTTCCAAACATTGATCAAATGGTGGATGCAACAACTGGGCATGAGCGGCTGACTTGTCTGGATGCATATTCAGGCTACAATCAAATCCCAATGGACCCAAGCGATGAGGAAAAGACCTCTTTTGTCACTGAACAAGGGATCTATTGCTACAAGGTCATGCCGTTCGGACTGAAGAATGCCGGAGCCACGTACCAGAGGTTGGTTAGCAAGATTTTTAAGGATCAAATGGGCAAGATAGTAGAGGCTTACATCGACGACATGGTGGTAAAAAGCAGACAGAAGAACCATCACTTACAGCATTTACAGGAGGTGTTCGGCGTGCTAAGAAAGTATGGAATGAGGCTGAATCCAACTAAATACTCATTCGGTGTAGGATCCGGG